GCCGGGCCAGGTTGGCCGAGGCGAGCGTGTGCACAGGGAGGGGGGTGGCGGCACAAGGGGCGAGACAGGGGCGAGAAAGGAGGGTGGAAAAGGCGCATGCCAGTTGTGCCGTCGCCGCGTTACGAATCGGCCAACAGCAGCCTGCTACTACCCGGCTTCTCCCGGTATCTTCTCTATCTCTCTTTCTCTATTTCTCTTTCTCTCTCTCTTTCTCCTCTATCCAGTCTATCGGATCACAGCCGTGCCTCAGTGTTCCTCGCGAGTTACCACCGCACAGTGCCTCCCGCGAGTCGTCGCCCGCGATCGACTATCAACTATCGTATCTCTCGTTACGTTCAACGAAGTTTATTTCTCGTCCAAAATTGCGTCGTTCGGATTGTTTTTTTTTGTTTTTTTTTTTTTTTGACATAATTAAAGCAACGGCCACGCGATACTCGTTTCTCCCGTTCGATAATATTACGTTTCACGTGCCGGCGCGTGAAAAAGTGCGTCTCGTCCCACGAGCACCTCTTTTTTTCCAGAAAGAAGAGAAAGAGAGAAGTGCGCGAGATCTCGAGTGTTGTGCGAAAATGGATTTTCACGAAGGGATGGATATTCAAGGCTGGGACAAAGGCTCGCCTATCCTTTGAAGCCGGAACCGGCGGATTTACGTAACGGAACGGAAGTTTCTCTAGTTCTTTAGCTTCGAGAAGTACGCCTGCCTTATGATATCTCGTGTGCTCACACGCGTGTGCGACACGCGCAATTTGGAAGGCGAACGATTGTTACGCGTCGAGATAGGGAGGGGGAAAGTAAAGTGTTTTTTTTAAAGGGCGGGATCACGGAGTTGAAGGTAAATGGAAGGAGGGGGTTGACGATTTTGTGAAAGTTCGACGATTGTATCGTCGAGTGGGAAGGGATTCCTCGAATAAAAACGGCGGAGGGTCTGTCACTGCGTCTTTGAAGGAAGAGGGTATCGTTGCTTGATTGATTACACAAAATTTAAGAAATTTGAAAATTCGTTTTTGCATCCAATAATACGATTAAAAGTCAATGATTCTTAACATCTAAACTAAGAGAAAGACGACTAGATAAAATTTCTCCAGAAAGAGAGAGAGAGATCCTCCTTCTTTATCTAGAAAAGAATAAATTGAAATTATTATATATATACACTTCAATCCAAAAAGCGAACAGTTTCGAAAATATTTCGAGTTTCACGATCCATCCCCCCTCTCAATTCCATTAGTCAAAGCCTCCCTCCCAATAATGGACGAACGCGCTTTGCTCTCTTCATCGTCGGTGGTTGTAATTTTTTTCCACGCGAAACCGCAGATGTAGGGTCGTATGATCGTCCGTGCAAGCGTGCCACATAGAAAATGATCATCCTTTTCAATCTTCCAGAAAAAAGGTAAACAAATAAAAACAGTCGTGCGAGGAGAAGGTCACAATAACGTTTTGAAAACAACGATTCGCTGTTTCGTTGTGGAAACCGTCGTCGCCGGTGGACGAGGTAATTAGAACGAAAAGAGAAGCTGACCTTGACTTTTTTAACGCCTCGTCTCGCGTCCCAAACCCGATTCAATTTTTATCGACGCGACCCGACTCTCCTCGTCGGAGGAAAAAACTCGAGGATAATTAGAGACGCTAAAGAGGATGCTTTGGCTTGAAATCGGAGAGAAGAGGTCGCTTTTGTTTTTTCTTCTCTCTTTCTTTTTCTTTTTTAAACTTGTTGTCGAAAGAACAAGCTGTAATCGCAGTCTGATTTTCCTTTCTTTTTCTCTCTCTCTCTTTCTCTTAGACGAAAATAACGTTGGTCGTGGAAAGTGTATGATAGTGGATCGTAACTTTCGAATCGA